ATTCGGGCAAGTTGAGCTTTAGAAAAAATACAAGTTTATTAAAAAATAAATAATTTTTATTGTCTCAGAGTAAGATTCACTAATACCAAGGAATCCCAGAATATGAAATACCTCAGAATGCAATTTTGGTGCAGTAATTTATTTTCCTCCTTATGGCATAACTAAAACGCATGAAGTTTTTTGTAGTTTGGATCATTCTATTTGTTTCAGTGTATATACATTTTCCATATCTCAGCCTTTAATCTTTTAATCCGCATACAGGCAGAATATTCGAAATTTTTCGCGTAATTCAGCGCAAAGTTAATTGTTATTTTGCGGCGGAATAATAGAATTTTTGTCGCATTTGCGGTAACATTTATCAGTACTTTTAACGAGAATTTTAGTCAGTCTGGAACAGATTCAAAATTTATGATGCACCACGGTAAAAGGTCAGCACTGCAGTACTGAATTTGATAGGACGCGAATTTTCCTTTCAAGTTCCGTATTTGTTTTTTAACTTTGCTTATTGGGAGTTCAAGTATTGAGTGTATTTGTGACCCCAATGGCCAATACGACACATTTTTCCAATATAAAAATTGATATGTCAGTTCTCTATCTTCCTACGTCAGTTGCTAACATAAACAGAAACCGAAGAAAAAAAAAATGATGAAGATTTTAAATTTCTTAAGTCTCATCTTAAATATATAAAATCCAGAATTTTGAGTTATTTGTTGAGCAGAAGAGCTTAGCGTTTCTTTTCACAACAAATATCTTTAAACACAAATTTCAAATTTGCATATAAATATTTCAGGCGCCCAAACTTGCAATTTGTAAACACATTTCGTACGAATTTCCATTGGGTTTATATTTTACTTTAATATTCTTTTTAATTTTTATATTTTATGAACTCAATTAATATTCCGGGCATACCCCACGCAATCTCTAAACTTAAAAATAACAAAGCACCGCATAAAATTGTAGTTTAGCAGAAACGACAAGAAATTGTTCACTAATATCGCCATATTTCACACAAAGTACGCCATTTTGCTTGTCTCTTTGTTTGTGCACAAGTATTTGGGATTTTATTTATAGCGTTTATATTATAACATGTATGTGTGTGTGTTCGTTTATGTGTGTGTGAGTGCGTTAGGTGACTGAGACCGAATACGAACAAAATACATACTACGTGATAGGAATGCCATATACCTGTTCGTTGATTGCTTCGGTTGGTGTTCGCAAATTAGGAAAGGGCAAACAAAGCAAACAAAGCAAACAAAGCGAGCAACAGAAGCTTCGCTGTCCGTTTTAAGGAACAAATTTAATTCTCACACATAGTTTTCTTTTCTTTTGTGGCGTGATTTAAAAATTTTCATTGAAACTTTGTTAAGTCAATTTTAACTAAGTCAACTGCCAACAAAAACCATAAATGAGCATCTGAAACAAGTTGTAGGAGAGTAAAAATTGTTTTCATATTTATTTTTTACCACTTCGCGTGAAGGATTTTTATCATTTATTTTCCAAGCACTTTACGACGACAAACAAACATATTCCGAATGTTACATCTGCCACAATATACCGAAAGCACAAAAAATTACAGCAGTTTAGTCATGTCGAAAAGAGCACCGTACCTTCAAGTATTCTTCAAGGAGCAGATAAATACAAATATTTTTCCCATGCCTGATTTACAGTGAAGAATTCGAAAGATAAATTACTATCGCAACTGATGAAAATGTACAGCATGGTTTTAAATACACCAGCTCCCGCTCTACTAGCCCACATCAGAATGAAATACAACTAACTCTTCCCTTTCTTACCGTTTGTGTCAAAATTGATATGAGAAACACTCTACAAAGATAAGAAAACTACATAGAAACACCTGTGCGCACTTAAGTGGCATTCCTCTTTTCAGATTATTCCGTTTTTCTTCTATTTAAGCTCTTTCAGTTCAACAGATAAGCAATATTTGCTGTGGGTAAACGCGTATGAGATATGACAGTTATGTTCGTTGTACCTCACTGCAATTCCTTTCTTCTTTGCTATATATAATCGTCCCTTATTTTTCCAAAGCGGGCGTTAGACAGGAATTTAATTTCATGTTTGGAGATTATATATTTTGTATATTTCTTTAAAATATTGCAAGAGATTGGCTTAAATACTTAACTAATGATAAGTTCATTTTCATTTCGTTTTATATAAATAAACTGAATATTATAATTGAACTTAAAAAGGAATTTTTGTGAAAAATAAGATATATACTAAGCAGTAATATTAATCGTACTTTTTGAAATTCATTGAACCAGATTCTTTCACGTTAACAAAAATTTATATATCGAGATTTTCAAATTAATGACGATGATTACTACCATATACCAACACATTTGGATAAGTTATTTCGTTATTGCAATCATTATTTTTTTCATTAGAAACAAAATTTTTAATTGCAAAAAAAAAGTATATATTGTTGAAAAGTTGAAATACCCACTTGTTTAATATGTTATCTTTACCCATATTTAATTTATATATTTGTATATATGTTTAATTTCATAATCATCTCCCGTTTTAATGAATTTGTTTAAATATGAGGTAAAATATTTGATGGATTTTTATTTTTAAGTCTTTACATTATATTAAATTTTGACTTATAAAATACTCTAAAAGTGAAATAATTAATTAGATTCTATCTTATATGGAAAAGAATAACAATAATAATAGTTTTTTCAATTTCATTTTACAATTTTAAATCTTAAGGTATATGTCAAGTTTTCTCAAGTTTCTTTCGGAATCTGTACGTTTGTATTAAATATGCAAATAACTTCTTACCCAAGCCAATCAAGGTGTTGAAAGGTAATGAATACATAAACGCAATTGAAATGGTTTAATTCTTGCTAAAATCGGAATATGCAAAAATTACTGTGGCATTAATTACAGAAATCATTACACAATAATTTGCATATGTGTGGTCGCATATGCTTTGTTAGCATGTCTGCTCATTCTTCTTTTTAATATGTAGACATGCTACATAGTTGCAAATTTGCTTTGGACCAGCAATTTCCTACGCATACATCAACAAAACAAATTCATGTGATAAATATTAATGAGCTCTCAGCGACTACGTTGACAGCAAATGTCAGTTTGACATTTGTAAGAAAACAAAATAAAAACAACAATAACATACACAACAACAACAACAACAAAGTCATAATAAACCAACACAAACACAAAGTGCGTAAATACTAATACGACGTGATGTACGACTCTTCAAGAAAAAGATGCAAACTCAAGTGAAGGCAAAACATGGAAACGAGGACAATTCCAAATATGAGTCAGTCATGTTAACCGTGGCAAGCTTGCTACACAAGATTCGTAGTATTAAAAAAAGCAGCTACTAATTTTACAAGATTTATAGTTAATATGGATATCAGTTATAATGCTCATTCATGACAAAATGGAAGATTAGTTTAAGAAGTACTCAGAATATTCACACCAGAGTATGAATCACTTTGATACGTGAAAGTGGCAGAAATTTTAAGCTATGCTTTAGCAGGTATGTAGGTGCAATGCTTTTAGCTCTAGAATGGAGAGTATGACAATTGTACTATATGGTATGCATTGCTAATTAAATTTAACAGTGATGTCTTTAATATTTGTGGCAACACTGAAAATTCTTATTATGTATTAAAATTCTTGGAAATGTTTAGATTCCTTTCTATTTCACAAGGAAAACTAACGCACACAGATTGCTTTCTTGAAAGTTAATTGCCACGCCTAAATGTAGTGCTTTTAAATATATTTCAAATACATTCTGAGAGAGAAAATTAATTGGAAAACACAAAATTTTTTCTTCAATTTTTGTAATTTTACTGCGCAAAGTAAATCGGCATAATTTACATTTTTTAACAATTTCTTTAACGAACAATGAAAAATATAAAGTGGAAAAGGCGGTGGTGGTGGAAGAAGACGAATAGCATAATAGCGTGGTTCACTTTAATTCTTATTAAAATGTTTCACTTGAAATAGCTTCAAAGATATTTTCGATCTAATCACGAAAAAAGCACAATAATGAAATATCCGCAGCACTTTGAAATTTTTCGAAAGTCTTCAAATAGGAAAGCCTTCAATTGTCTACGTCAACATGCTCGTTAAACAAATTAAAATGTTTTCTTGCCTTATTTCGGAATTTATTTAAATTTTTCTATCATTCATTTCAGATCTGTGTGGACAGATACACATTGCCAGATACAAAAAATTTAAATTTATTTTGTATACTTAGTAACGACCGCATCATATTTTACCACCGCTAAACCAAACCGTCCCAGTAGAAAACTTAAAGGAATTTCAATTTTCACTTATAGTAGGGAATCAAAAGTACTAATGCTGCCATGGACTGTTTGCTTATACCTTTCCCCATATGAAAGCCTGCCTGCTATTATCATTATAGCTATGAATTTGTATTTCCTATTCAGGCTTTTTTTGAATCTTTCGATATTTACATATTCCCGCGAAGTTGTCTTTCCACTCAATTGAATATTTTCATTTCCGCTGTTTTTCTTTGTTTTGATTTCTTTTTGGACTCAATTGCTATGCGTCTTTCTCTTGGTGTTTTTCTTTTATTCTTTTCCTGTATTATCGACGTTTAAGTTAAATACTTCAATACAGACTCTGCTGATAACGTCATCAAAATTCGCGTACTTTTATATATATAAATGCGTTTCATACGACTACATTGGAGTAGACTATATTTTGAAATTAAATCTTTCAACTGAATGTATCTTTTCTATAAAATATGGGCTGATGAGAAATTAACAAAACTACACAGCTGCAAAACTTCTCTCTTCGTATGTCCTATATTAAGAGAAATAACCTTATACGCATTATGTATAATATTGAGCCACCACTCTTACAATCTATTGAACAACTTTAGTTTATATATTCAACTTCTTAAAATAAATATTTACCATTTATTAATTTATATATAAAATCAGTTACTCAAATAACAAATTTAATTATCTTTTTTCTTACAGAAACATTTTCACCGCACCTCACTTCTTATCAAGGCGTTTAATCATAAGTTTCGCTTAGATCTGGAATTAAACTCGTAAGTACAGTAAAACAATAAAAAAATTATTTTTTTAATAAATTATGACTCAATAAAGCCATTATTTGATTTATGATAGATAGATAATTACAAAAAAATATTAGAAATTAAGAATCATTTTCAAGAACTACTTCTAAGTTAAAGCTAAGGAATAAATACTTCTTAAAACTTTCTCCTAAATAAACCGAATATCCTTGGGAACGTATATAATCAAAATTTATAACAATATTAGACCCCGCATGGCGTAAATAATAATCAGTTCTGGAATCGCTAACCACATTTTCTGTTAAAAATTTGATTCACCGGAAAGAGGGTCGTAATAAATTTGCAAAAAGGTAGCCACTAAATTTTTATTAAGTGATAACCATGAATTTTTTGCCAATAAGAAAAAACAACAACATCGAAATAAATAAAATTGAAACAGTTCGCAAACACAAAAGGGCTTCATGATTCATATGTATATAAAAACAGGATGTCCGCATATGGACCTCTATTGTTACCATTAGAATCAGAAATTTACTTGCAAAACAAATTTTACGCAAATGGAAAATATATCTGAGAGTGAGTGTTTCAATTCTTGTAGCTGATTACATATTTGTGTAGCCATGAGCGTAATTTCACTTAAGATGAAGGCGGCAGTCCGGCAACGCCAACCAACGCAAACCAAAGCCAAAAATTTGAATCTTATTAGGATAGAAATAAAATTTTATTTATGTGTGAATGTCCGTGCGATTAGAAGTATTGTACTACTACAACTCCTTACTACTTTACTACAATATGAAGAAAGTAAATAAATAAAAGTGGTAAAACTAGAAGGTGCAAAATTTGTACAATCTAAAAATAAAGATAAACATTTTTATGAGCTTATCGCAAGAAAGGTCCAAACTCATTGCAGGCCCTTTTAGTTTTCCTTTTTGCAATTAGAGCACAAAAGTTTTTCATATCTGTACGCCTTACCGCCTTGCCGCTTACTTGTTTACTGTTTATTTATGCGCTCTTGTCGGCTTGCTAACCGTAACCCCTGACATGCTTTCTGGCCCACTATGCCTATTCCGTCGAGGTTCGCTGACCACAAAACCAAGTGTCGGGAGCGCTTTCATTTGTTGTTTTGTTGTTCTGTTGTTTCAGTTATTATTGTTTGTGCTGGTCGCTGGTCGCTATTTTTGTTATTGTTATTTGTTTCTGGTTTTAACGTTTATTATTTTTATGCGGTAGCATTAGGTAAACTCAGTATTTGCACATAACACAGCCACCACAGTCAGCCGACCCAAATACCAACATAACCAGTAACAGGAGCAGAAAAATAAAACGAATGCAAACAAACGGTAGGATTGCTTCCACTTTGCATTAAAATAATTACTAATGAATTTGTTTGTTAACCATTTTTAGAGGGTTAATGTTTGGCAGAGTCGAATTTCGGTTATTCGACTGAACAACTTGATTTGTTTTTATTTTTCAGCCTATTTAGTTTTTGTGGTTATCGATGTTTTTATGGCTCCCTTCTAACTAAATTTGTTCTACCTATGTACCTATTTGTCCTTTTATTACGACATTCCAGCTCACTGAAATAGTCCTTGCCAACAAGTACGCAATTCAGTTAATATACGAAATAGCAACCATACATTTTTATTTTTATTATTAGATTGTAAACGACTATTAACTTAAACATCTTCAATTATTAAATCTTATTTGTCTATGTTGAAGCTATTTGAGCCAGTGCACTTGAGCACTTTTACTCTTTATTAACTCGAGGTCTCTTCAAAACTCCTCTTTACGCCTTGACTGCATTAATGTTTATCACTTCATCAGACTAAGCAATAATTGACCTTAGATCTGCACACCTTCCCGACGAGTCTGTACCCATTGCGAGATTCGATAGCGCGCCGTTGGTAAATCTGTCAGTTTTCACAAATAATTTCAGGGCTCTTTCCTTTATATATTTTATGATGGGATCAATCATGAGGTCCCTGAGGATGTCATTCGACCTAATGTACCATGCTATATATATATATATATATATATTTGTGGGATAGATGTAGAAAATGAGATCTTTTTACATGGCCAATTATATGTGGCGTGTTCTCGGGTTGAAAAACTGGTCAAGTTTATTCATTTATACTTCTCAAGAATTGACTAAAAATATTGTTCATCAACTCGCATTAAAATGAAATTAAACAAACATTATTACGAATTGTTTTTAAAAAAATTGATATTATTTCAAAATAATGAATAACAAAATTATTACATTATTTGTCTTTCATTTCTTACTTTGTTTAATACCCTAATCGCTTAGTATATCATGCAGGACAACGAAAATCGGGTCCGCTAGTATATATATATATATATTTTAATTTTAATATATATATTTTTTTTAATATATTTTTAATTTTTATTTTAATTTGTTTTAATTTATTTTATTTTAATTTATTTTAATTTTTATTAATATATAAAAACCAATTTCACTTAGAACGATCAATGATTGGTCAAATATATTGTATATCAGTTTTGCAGTAAAAGGAGATAAAACTCAGACTGAATTTTGAGTGGATTAAACTAAGCATATTTCTTCTTATTATTTGGCACTACAGTCCAGTGTGGCCACCCTAAAAAACTTAAAATATTTACTTGCTTTAAAGTGAATGTAAATTCAGGTAACTTCCTACCACATGGCTTGTAACACCTATTATTACATATAGTATTTAAGTTCCCCTTGGATCATTTGATGAATGTCTGATACCGTGCCTAGGCCTACTGTCCCATTCCGTACGAAATTTTTTCTAGCGCATTAATTGCGCATTTATGTTTACGCGTGCATGTAGGCGTGCTTCAATTTCACTTTAAGTAAATTTATAATGAATCGCGTTGAAATTGTTTTAAGCTTGTTTTCTTTAATAAGTACATGTATATTAAAAATTCGCTTATTATGTTTTCATTTCATTTTATTTTATTTCATTTTATTTCACTTTACCTTACTCATACACGAGAAGTCCTCGTTTCCCGTTTCTCGTTTCTCGCTTCTCACATCAAGTCCTTTCGTCTCTAAACGACAGTGTAAATAGGCGTAATAAAAGTGCAAATAAACACACTCAAATTAAAGTCAAGAAAAAAATCGCAAAGCATTAAAACGAAATGAGAATGAAAAATAAAATCAAAAAAGGCAAAACAACCAAGAAAATAAATAAAAAATGAAGTGGAAGAAGTGGAAAAAAGAAAAGGAAATATAAAGAAAGTTCAAAGATAAACGAATTTTTTATTATGTGGCTTATTTAATTTTTTATTTTTGCGCTTACCTCGAGTACATAAGTCAAGAGTCCTTTGCTTTGTATTTGCCTTGTATAGGCGTATTGTGGTGCAGCATCTTGTTGTTGTAAAAAAAGCGTAAAATAAATTTGCCCGTCTTCGTCGGAAACGAAACACAAGGCTAAAAGTGCGTTCCTTCTCCTCCCACGATAGGATGTGAGAACGGACTGACTGAGGTGGACGGTTCCTCAAACTGAGTTGGATCAGAGTGCGAAAGTTGATGGGATAAGATGAACAAAGGTGAAAAGCTTCCAACTTAAGTTTCAACTGCTATAATCAAATTTATGTTCTCAAAAGCGGCACGCAGCTGCAGGACTCCGACTTAAGACGGGCTGAGCCTTTAATGTAAAATAGACCAAACAGATTAATTTGATTTTATTTGCGGTTTTATTGCGCTTGTTATTGCCTCATTTTTTACTTTGCATTTCCGCTGGCACAGCCATTGCCGTTTATTTCCTTTATTACAATTGCAATACTGGAAATAAAAATTAAAACTGTAAATGAGCCCGAGGCTCTAAAACACTTAAATTTAAGATTTTTGACCTTTGGCGCAAATGAAGAACAGCGGATAACAGTCATGGCAAGCACAGATTGCATAAACACAACTAAATGATGGATCCAGAGATAAATTAAAGAGCGGAGCAATCTGCACATTTAAAACATTTGCTTTAATTTAGAATTGAATTAAAATTCTACGATTCTCTTAAACTTACTCATATTGTACAATACTTCTTAATTAGCGCATTTCACTCTAGTATAAACGTTCAGTTTAGTTAATATATACTGTGTAACAATTTATATTAAGCGGATTTTTATTATATTATTGTGTATTTAAATGTGTAATTAAAATTTCAACAATAAACATAATAAGGAATATACAAAAAAACAACTATCGAAATAAAAGTTAAAATTCTGGAAAAAGAAAAACGACTTTAAAATAAGCATCAATCTGCTCATATAATTCTGACCCAAATAAATTATAACCTAAATCTGCTGGGAAGTTGGTATACTAACGAAGGGTTAGAGAACTAATAGTAGCGATAATGTGCCTAAACCGATTTTTTGGTTTCTGAACTCAAAATTTTAATTTTGTTTTTCATTTCAAATTAAAAGAAAAACTTTTAAAATAAGATATTTTGAAATATTTTTCTACTTTAAAAGGATTGCCAAATGTTCGATATACAATGGCCGCCATTTAAAACATAAGAATTTTAGAATTTTTTTCAAATTTAAAGACGTTATCAAATGTTTACTAAACAATGGACTCTATTTGATCTATAAAATATGAATGTAAATACATTCTCTTAACTAATTTTTAATTTCTGTTATTTATGTGGTGAGAGAAATAATGTGAGTTTAATGTCCAGAGAAGATTGTATCTAAAATATCAGCATTAACTATTAATTGATTATATATTTAACCCATTTGATACTTGTCTATTAATTCAATGGACATGAGATTTCACTTGATGATAGTTAAAGTTCTGTTAGCAAATCCTGAAGCCCAGATGCAATTGTATCTTTAGGAGCTTAATGTAACCTAAAGACTCCCTCAAATTATTTCACAATATTAATATTTTACAAGGAATTTATAGCATTATTCTGTTATTGAATATCCAAAGAAACAAATTGCAAACATATGTGAACTCTAACACATGTAAAATTATAATCATAAATTTCTGTATATTTAATTGGTAAAAACCTCTAGACACCGCAAAATCTCAGTATATAATAGGTTTTAAATTACCACAACACATTTTTGAGCTTAGATAGGAAATTGCTGTTCTCCCACATTATTCAATAATGATTCCACTGACAAGTCGACAATTTTATTTAAAGCATAAACAAATTCTTAATGTGGAACATATGCATCATCTGAAGGAATAAATTACTTTGTGTTATTATTTTGCTTCAGCAAATCAAAATATTTTATTTGTTTACCTACGATTGAGTGGAGGAAAATGTTTTCACTACAACGCAGGATGTATAAATAAAAATTATATAACACTACGTAAATATATCTGACAGATGTACGTCATTCAAAAGAGCAAAGCTGATAAACATAATTTAATTTATGGGAAAAATAAATAGCACTGCTCTCTGCTCATTTACGGTTTATGTCTCGAATTAAATTTTTCTTATTTTTATTTTCCAAATGACATAAAAATGTTTCATGCGTGTTGATTTTTTACAATTTTTATTTTAAACAAAAATTGTTTACCTTCTCAGGCTTCAAAGAAAAAGAGCTTAAGCACCTGTTACACTGATTTTGTATCTATAGAATAATTTTCTTATTTATTTGAAAACCCCTCACTGTTGAGTTTAGCAGGCATGACCCACTACAGAAATTTTCTTTTAATCTTTCAATTATTTTTTTTTCATTTTTTACTAATTTTTTTTTAAAACAATGTCAATAATGTAATATCAAACTCCTCCACTTTCGTAATTTTAAAACATAACGTTCACATAACTATTTTCAATATTCCAACAAAGTAAATCTGGAGACTATTGAATTTATTTTTCTTTAAGAAACATTTCAATCCTTATAAAAATATAACAAAAGCTAGTCAGAGTTAATGGAGATTTTACTTTTTTTCCCCAACTACTGACTATTATTGCTAACAATTTAGTTATCAAATTTCAACAAATTTTTCCCAGTTCCACTCAATCTCTGGAATTCCTTATTGCTTTAGGCAATAATTCCATATGTGTGTATTATCATTGCATAACACACTAAATCAGCTTATACGCGTTTTACCGTATATCAGGAAGAAAATATTAATTTGTTTAAACTTTGATTTTAAATCTACAATTGCCTCTCGCTCTGCATTTTATAACTAAGAATATAATATGGAATATCATGTTCAAGGTAAGAAGTTTGCTCAATGTAATACCAAAGCCTAACACCTGACCTCTAGGAGTATTTAATGTTTCTTAGGAAAGATTTAAGAATACAAACACGAATATTGCTAAACGCCTTTTCCATGCAAAAACTCAATACTATCTGTTCGTTATGAAAAGCGAAATATTCAAAATTCACTTAACTATCTAAAAGTGTCAGTAAAAACTCCTCGACAAAAAGAATTTGAACATTTATAAATAAATTTAAAATTAAACCAATTATTTTAATTTCTTTTATTTTTCTTGTATTTTGCAAAGTTTTCACTAAATTGATTTTTATCACTTCCAGGCAACTTTTGTCACCAAACATCCAACAGAAACATTATCATGTAGGCGGATATCTTGTAGATGGTAATCGACATGTAAGTATCTACAGAATAAATAGAAAACAATTATTCCAATAAAAAAAGTTTTTAAAGGTAAAAAGAAAACAAAAAAGGTAACAAAACTAATGAATTCCTTATTGAGCTCATACAGATGCAAGTATGAGATATATCTGCAACTTCTAAATTTATTAAATATTTTTTTTGTACTTTGGAAAATTTTTGAAAGATTCATTAATGAGCTTTCGAGAAATTTGAAGCTTATTTTTCTCATTCTCACCCGATTTAAAAATATTTAAAATAATTTTGCCTCATTCCTAATTTATATCGTTACGTTAGACACACCCATTAGAAGCTAATCGGGAAAATTGTATTGACACTTTTCCGTTCACTTTTCACAGCTTTTAATTTTTAAACTTCTTCGTCTGGCTTACGTTGAGATCCTTGTAAGGTTAAATGAAGCAAACGGGGAACACTTGTGCCTTTTAATTTTGATAACGAAAACGAAAAGGAAAAAGAAAATCGACAGACAATGAGATGTATTCGTATGTGTTTTGATAGAGCTTGAGATACAACTACAATGGAGCGAAATAAATTAGCTCTGAAATTTTTACCTGAATTATTGACAAAAGGCGACAGCATAGCTAAGTCTGAGGGTAAATTAAAGTAAACAATTTAGCAGGCAGAGAAGAGATGAAGCACAATTCGTGACTCGTGATGAAAGATACAAAGGCGAAGATTTCGCTTAATTTTGTTGGGTTTTGATTGAATTTGGAAACGGAAGCACACTAAATTGCGAAGCTTGAATTTCAATTACAATGTTAACTTGAGCATTTTCTTTTCCACATTTCCCCATAAGTCTTGGGCTAACACCAATACAAAAGCGAAAAGCGAATCATTCAATGTATCTGGGCTCGTTTAAAAAATTTTGTTTATAAAAAACGGCGCGTGCAAACAAAGTAGAAATATCTGCAGTGCCGTTTCTTCTGCGTTCGTAATTGATTTCTTTATGGTTCAAAATAGCTCGGCGAGTATGTGCGTCTGCATATATGAGACTAGATGTCAGTATTCGATGTTCGAACGCTAACGTATATCCGCACGTTGTTACAGGATATTCGTATGTGTTGTGTACTTCTGAAACCGTTTGTGTGAAAAGACATATTGAGAGAAAAATCACGTCGAAGCTACAAAAGAAAAGAATTTAATAACAAAAATCAAATTTCGCACGTTTCAGATTTTTATTTTTGTCATAAGTAAACGAAGGAAAACGAACAAATGTTGGGCAAAAATAGACAAGAAAAATGTGCGAATAAATTTGACTTTTGAAGTGCAAAATATCCTCATTGACTACGGATTGGACATTTCTGAACCATTTTTCTTATTTGGAGAATAAGCAAATGAGAGTCTTCATGCCAACTTCTATCAAAGTAAAGCAAAGTAATCCAATTATATTAGAAATCATTACACATCGCCATTTGCTGCTACACGCAAAAGTATTTCAATATTTTGGGGAAGATACATTTAAGTTTGAATATTAGTGCACGTATCGCAATTTCGGCACGCTTATGGGTGAAATCAATAATTACCACTGCCATAAACACCTTCTTGAGTCGGAGCAACTAGATTGAGTTCAATACATCAGACGATTCTAAAGCAATAAATTTTGAGAGTCTCATCCGTAGTCAATGTGCTAAAACGTTTAACTACATTTCGCAATAAAAAATATAATTTATCGCACACACAAGAAAATTATGTAAATCAGATATTTTTGATATCTTGGAGAAGAACGAGAAGCAGAGATTTAAAGGATTTTTTTGTGTTTCAGACTTTTTATTATTTTTATTGTTAAGAAATATTAAAAAATGTTCATTTAGCTTTATAAACAAACATAATTTTTTCGAGGAAAATTGTTCTTAACATTTTTGAAATACATTCAGAAGTAGATGCTTTTATATTATTTATATCTTCTGTCCTCATTACTAACACAATATCTTCTTAGATATATGTATATATACACGTATATGTATAAATATTAATTTGAAACTTTGCTTTGTTTATTAAAGCTAAGCTTATGAGGAAAAAGATACGCCTTTAGCAGCTTTAATATTTATGATTATTCAAGTTTTATTAAAAGTTTTCACAAATGCGGATGACAAACAGGAATACATACTAGTTTTGCATTTGAAAGAACGGAAATTAAGTTTACAAAAATGTTATTTATTTCTTCTATTAAAAATATTAAAGTAAGTGATATTACATGGTCGTGAAGTCAAGATATGAAAGCATATTTCAATATTTACTTGCAAAATATTAAAATATTGATGAAAGTAGTGCAGCCGCTGTGTTACTTCATAAGAATGTAATTTCCTTAACAGTATGTGTTAGAATAAAATAATATAAAAAAAAACAGACTTTAAAATTTAAAAATCTTAACCTAAAAAAATATATTTACCCTTTCGAACTTAACATAAAACGTATTTCGTTCAAAATTTTCTAATAAAATTTCCTGTCAGTTTTTTAATATATTTTTTCCGGACAATTAAAATTGCCTATTGAAATAAACTCTATACGGAATCCTTCAAAAGTTGTCGATCTATATTTCAATTTATATCTTTTAAGTAGAAGATTATGCGATAAGCATAACCTTTTAACCTTGAACGTCAGTATGTAATGAATAAGTCTCCTAACTGACAGTCAGCCAACGATCATTGATTTTCCTATTAAAGAATTATTATTCTGATTGATTCTATATGGATCCTTTAAAGTTCTTTAATCTACATATCAATTTATATGTTTCAAGAATAACTGTACGCAATGAGCAAGACGTGTTCATTAAAACATTGAGAACGTAGCTATCTATACACGAATAACGAATAACTCTTCTAACTGATAGTCAGCCAGCAATGAAAGAATTCTTCTTACACTTTTTTATTCAAATATAGGCTGAACTATTATACAGAAATTGAGAATGTAAGATTCAGAAATATTATAGAATAATTTTGTATGAATATGCATATACAAATATAATACGTAATCATTTCAAAACCATTTTAAATTTTTAACTACTTTTATTTGCAGGACATCGAACATTGCTATTACCATGGCACAGTGAAGGATTATCCTGGAGCAAGTGCGGCGTTCCATACGTGCAACGGCGTAAGCGGCGTAATACACATTGGCAACGAGACATTCGTTATTCACCCCTTCTACGGAGGCGATCTTTCGGTATGTTGTCGTATTTAAATACTTCCACTCTTTTCTACTTAGTGCAAATCCACTTAAGTGAAAAAGTAACTGAAAACTTAGAAAAGACAGAAGCTCGTATTTATTTAATTTATTCTTCCAATTTACAAGCGTACAATGGTTTAAAAGTTCTTAAATCCCAGTCGTTCTTACAGTAGATAAAAATGGCACTCTCCATGCCGCATACTGACATAAAGGCTAAACTATGATTTATATAATCCACATGATATTATCTGAATACGTAAAAATACTTAGGATAACACACAAACACTCCCATACACTCACCAGTAAATCAGTAAACCAGTAAAGACATGCACCTATAATTTTTGTAAAGTTTAAATAAAACTCACAGTTTTCCAACTCAACCCTTTACCTATCGAAAATTCCGGAGGAAGTCCTGAATATGTGAGCTTATTTGAAACTTACGAATAAAAATTCGGTGCAGCACGCTACTAATAAATAAAAATTTGCACAAAAAAAGGAAATAAGGAAAATCCTTTGGAGAAGCTAGAAATACAAGCAAAATGGCGGAGAACAGGAACGACTTAATGTGAACGAAGGCATGAGGTAAATGCGAAAACTTATGACTTTCCGGTTCAATTTATTTGAATTTCTTGCTTCCACTCATTGTGTTGGTGTTACGGGTTTGGGCCAAATTTTAAATTTATGACAAATTCATATTGATTCCTATAGCCTCAACCCTTGAAACATGAATGGCCCTGCGATGATGGAGCATGTGCCTCGGTTTCTTCACAAAAATTTCTCCAAACACAAATTGATGTGAACATTTTTTTATGTTCGCCCTCAAAAGGTAAAAATAAAGCTAAGCACCCAGCAAATCCTCAATGATTGGTACTCCTCCTGCCAGGATATTTCTTTGGTGTGCTGCTGCATTATTATTATGATTATTATTATTGTAGTATTTTTTCCTTTTCTTTTTCTTTTCTCTCTCAAATATGAAGTATTACTAGAATTT